CAAGACTTTTCATTACTAAAATAAGAATTAGAGTGAGTTATCGGAGTATTGACCATCTTTGCTTTTTAAAATCTTATAAAAGTTTGCAATATTTTGTATTATATTTTATTTAAAAAACGAAAATTACCTTCTAAATTAGAAGTTCATTTTTTTAATTTTTAACTCAATTCAAAACATTTTTTTTGTTGTTGTTGTATGCAGTTTCCAGCAAACTTTAATTAATTTTTTTCTATTTGTGAAAATTTCTACGTTATTTAAAGGTAATTTTTATTATAGGCCTATAGACCTTACACAGCATTATTAATATGATTTTGGAGGTTACAGAACTTTAAAATTACTTTAAAAAATGGAAAATAATTATATCATTTGATTTCAAGATATTTTGTGTACCTTAAAAATAATTAATTCTATCCCGGGATTTCCCGGGATCCCGGGAAACAGTTCACTTTTATCCCGGGATCCCGGAACAAGCAAAAGACCGGGAAATGAGAAACTCTAGTGATAGCCAAGTGCATAAGGTTCCGATATAGGATCGAACAGTCATCTTTTTAGTTTTCTTTTTTTGTTTTTTAGTTTAGTTTAATTTAATTTCTCTATTACGCTTTTTTATCTGTACTTTGTATTATATTTTTTTCTTTCCTCAACAATAAATTAGTTGTAATTTTTCATTTGTGACATATTGCTGCTCAAACTGCTCGCCCAGGCCAACTACATCGATAAACATCGTCTCGTGTTTCTCCATGTCACCTATCTAGTTTTATAAAGTCGCTAAATATAACCGTGGAAGCTGCCATGTTGCTTTGTTGGAGTTAACCATATCCACAATCTGACAAGTGCTATTCGCATCTGTTGCTGCATCTGTGAACTCATTGGCAGTGCCGCCCGAGGCAAGTTTTAGGATGGAGCGAGATCCTATTGTGGCGCCCCCTTGTTGCCCCTAATTTATACCCTTTAATTTTCTTTACCACTGAGGCGCTTCCTAGGACTTAGCGCCTGGAGCGGCTGCTCCGTTCGCCCTATGGTAGGGCCGGCTCTGCTCATTGGTGAATATCGGAACATATTTTTGTACATCGCGGTTCGCCGATGTGCTGTTTGATGCATACTGCAATGTACCCAAAATGTCCTCTTGCCTGTCACTTTCGGGGTGGCCGATTGCGGCGCCACCTACGATAATTCAGAAAACCATATTCGACCTTCAGAGTTACTTTTCTTCCACACCGGAATCATTATGCAAAAAACGTGGGGTCTTCCCTTCAAAAAGGACTTAACTTTCCATGTGGTTTAGTTGTTGGGGTATCTGGCTTTCACCCAGAAGACACGGGTTAGATTCACAGCATGGGAATATTTAGAAAGCCGGATGACTTTGCGGTCACGGTAACAGCCTACCGCTCTGGGGGACCGTGATCAAATCAGAACGGGTTGAAAAATCTTCTGGAATTTTTCGGGATAGGTCCGTCCGGATATGTCGGGCCCCGTCCCACACCATTCGGCCGTCCTATTGTGGTCCTGACCGAACTCATAATGATCTGGATAAAGAGGTCCTCTTAGTACCTACAGGGCGGAAAGAGTTTTAAAGCAAATATATCTGTAAAGGAATATTCAAAATATATGTATGCAACGTTATTTTCGAAAAGATTTTTTAATTTTAAATTAATTATTTTGAGAGTCAGATTTCTACTAACTAATGGATAAGTTTCTTGAAATTAAATTTTAATAGTAGCCGTCTCGTTGTCTCGCCGACTGTAAATTATGATAATTCTTTTGTTTTGGATGATTCTTTCTCATTTGAAGTACTAAAAACGGCAGTTCAAAGACTGAAAAATGGTTCTCTCCTGGTACGGACGGAGTGAAATACGAATTTATTCAATCATTGCCGAGAATAGTGTTTGGAATTCTAAGTTTGTTTAATAAACTTAGAAGGCAGCTTTTCCAGAGAAATATTGTAGAAGAAAGTTGTACTAAAAATGATTTAGAAAAAAAAAAAAAAGTGAAAGAACTAATCCACATAATTATCGTCCAATAGCATTGTTGAACACGTTTAGAAAATTGTTTACTAGTTGATTGTCGAATCGGTTAAAACGGCTAAATGAGCATAATGTTATCTCAATATTTATTTGAATCGTGCAATGCCATTACAGCTTATATTTACATCATTTTGATACTCGAGAAAATTTGTAACTTTGAAATTGTAAAAAAAAATCACTTTTGTAAAATTGAAATGAATTCGTTTATTACAAAAATTGTGTTTTACCTCTCCTGAAAACTTTGGCATTCACCACATTATGCTATTGCACGCTTAATTTCAAGGTGTCTTTGTTTGGAGCAGGGGGATAATTTATAATACTGTACTTTCATTCTTAATAGTTTAATTCAATATGTGTTATCGAGGAAAAGGAGAAAAATTTATTCGCCTTTTATTGACTTAGAAAAGGCATTTGATAATGTTAACCTTAATTTATTGTAGAAATAAACTTTATAATGTGGGATTCTCCAGATCCTTCATTATTTTGCTTAGGAATTTGTTTTCTATTACTAGTTATCAAATAAAAGGAGATACTGTTAATTCTACTTGTATAATATGTACTAGAAGTTTACCCTAGGCAGAACCTTTTGTTGTTTATTTTGTTTATATCTGATTATATGTTGAAAAATGATCTTTCTATTAATTTTTAGAATACAAAGGGATTGGTGTTTCGTAATGAAAAAAGACCTCATAGAACTGATAACATTTTTTATTAAGAATGTAGAAATTAATTTTATTCCTCGTTTTAAATATTTAGGATTGAAGTTTTTATTATATTTTGGATAAAATAGAGAAAGATATACTAAAGAAGACAGGTTGTCTTTTGCCACTACAGACAAAAATGAGGATGAACTCTATTAAAGCCATGTTTAAACTTCTTGACACTATGTTAAAGTCTAAATTGACATACTTGGTTCCAGTTTGGGGTTTAGATCTTATAAAGAAAATTGAGAAAATGCAATTAAGATATTTTCAAATATTATTTAAGCTCGAACGTTCACTGCTTAATTCTGTTGTAAGATTGGAATTATGGAGACCCCCGCTGGAAATGAACATTTTAAAAAATATTTTGTTGTTTTGGTCTAAGATTAGTGATCTTTCTCGTCACGATCTTTGTTACTGTATTTATGATTCTTTACTGAAGAAAGGAAACTCAAATAAGAAAAATTGGGCTTTCTCGATTAAAAATATTTTTGATAATTTAGGCTATTCTTTTGTTTTTTTGGAATCATTCAGTTATACTTGACAACTTTTGTTAGTTAAGTTACAGTTGGGCGATGTGCCTAGGGGAATGCCTTCCGGGAGGTCTTTTTTAAGGGTAACTGACTTCTATTCAGGCGTTATAAACGTGGAGAAAACCCGGAAAACTCCACGTTTTAAGCAGGCGCGAACCCACCACCGAACTCCCAATGTTCTGGGAAAAGAAAACCTCTTGACGACTGGTGGGCCATATATTGACGGTATTGCATAGATTCACATGAAAGTGTGAAATTTCGAATTCACCCCTAATGCGTAAGGAGAAGATTTCTTTATTTTTGAACTGAAATTCTAAAATTTTTATAGAGTAGTAACTTTATTTTGCTTACTTACTATATTGTTATTACAAAAGTGGCGAATTACAAAAAATTTTAATAAAATCCGATACGAAAATAATGCTATTTAAACTATCGTGAATGATAATGTGCACGAAAGACGAACATTTACTGTCGAAATGTCCACTTTTAGACAGAACAGTTATTTACGACATCCGCGCCTTCCGCCAGGTGACGACGCGGTGCAGTCGGCCCTGTGGCTCTCTGCCCAATATTATTTAATGTCCACTCCCGCCTCTGTCACTCGTTGCAGGAGCTCGGCTTCTTGCAGCAGCCCGGCGATCCGGTACACGTCGTCGCTCATGCACCTGTCTTTGTCTACCGTCGGCACTCGCGAACGCACCGTTTGGTAAGTTATTTTTCCCACCGGACTCAATCGGTTGTACTGGCCGGCCAGGTCGACGGCCTGGACCGCAGCCAGAAGTTCGATGGCCAAGATGTAATAGTTGTTTTTGAGGACGCGTTTGCACTTTCTGGCTGCCGTCAAGCCCATGCTGACCACGTCCTGGTTGTCTCCGTTGCAGGAGATGCTCTGGACGCTGGCCGGTGTGCAAAGGGTCCTGTTCTCGGCCACCAGGTCGCAGGCCGCGTACTGCAGTCCGCTCAGTCCGCAGTTTAGACCCGGATCCGACTTGACCAGAAACTGCGGCAATCCGTTGTTCAGGTGGCGATTCAACAGTCTGTTGGTCCTTCTCTCCGAGACCACTCCCAGCTGCGTCAGCGCCAGGCAGGCGAAGTCCATGGCCATGGCCACGGGTTGACCGTGGAAATTGCCTCCGTGAAACACTTCTTTTCCCGGGAAGAAAAGGGGGTTGTCGTTGGACGAATTTATCTCCCTGGTCACCACCTTCCGCGCGTATTCTACCGCCTCTTTGACGGCCCCCGTCACCTGAGGAATGCATCTCAGCGTATAGGCTTTTTGCAGATACACCTCGCTCTGGCCGGCGCTTCTGTTCCTCACTTGGCCCAGTTCCGTTTTCAATTCCCGGTGAGTGCGAATTAATTTACTTCCTTCCAGTAGCTTTAGCGCGTTGCCCGCGCTGTCGATCTGTCCCGGGTGAGGCCGTCCCAAGACGTGGCCCTCGGGTCGAAAGGCCCCGTCGGAAGCCATCTGGTTTTCTAAAACCAGCGCCGCCACGATTTCTGCCTGTTTTATCTGATCGTCGGCCCGGCGCAATATCAGAGCGGCCATTCCGGTCATGGCCGAGGTGCCATTGATCAGGGCAAGTCCTTCCTTGTATTTCAACTCCAACGGGCGCAAGTTCCGTCGGGCCAGCATCTCCGCCGTGGGCACTCTCTCGTCGTTGTCGTCCAAGACGTATCCTTCGCCTATCAGCGCTAGGGCCACATGAGACAGAGGTCCCAGGTCTCCGCTGGCTCCCACCGATCCCGCTTCCGGGATCAGCGGCACGATGCCCCGATTGAGGAAGGCCACCATGGCCTCCACCAATTCCTCTCGCACTCCCGAATAACCTCTGCACAGGGCGTTGATTCTGGCGGCTAGAATGGCTCTGGATTCTTCTCTGGATAGGCGGTCTCCCACGCAGAAGGCGTGACTTCTGACTACGTTGGTCTGCAGCTCGGTTTCTTTCGACTTGTCTACGGTTATGTACACCATTTCGCCGTATCCGGTGGTGACACCGTACACCGGCTCGCGGTCCACGATCTCTTCCAGCAGCTTCCTGTTTTCTCCAATGCGCCGCCTGGTGGACTCGTCCACCACCGCCAGGCCCTTTTCCACCGCCAGGTCGAAGATGTCGTCCAGGTCGACGTTGTGACCATCCAAAGGAATGCGGCGAACCGTCCCGTTGGTGGCCGTCTGCAAAACAAAAGCCATTATCCGTAAATTAGTTCTTTTCCGTCCGTTCGTTTTAATTTCTTTCCTAATCACTTTAAATGTTTTAACGGCTTTATTTATTGTCGTCGGCTTTTTTACCCGTTCCACCCAAAAACATACCGGGTCCTAAGTTCCCAGCGAATATCTTTGGCTACGAACTTAGGGCCCGGCGCGTGGCCGATCCTGAGACAGGTTTAAGACGTCCGAGTGGACTACGCACTGTGGCAGAGTTAGAAGAAGAAATAAAAGCGGCCGATACAAATTTATATAAAAAACAAAGACACCAAATTACATAAAATTGAAAGTTATATCACACGTTTTTTTACATTTTACGTTATCTTAAAAACTAAGAAATATAAAAGTGATTGAAATTATTTAAATTTCGAGAAATACGATAAAGGAAAGGGCCTTGGAAATACGCCAGAACGAAAGAACGGCGTGAACGCCAGACGAAGGTAGTAGGTAGTAGGTTTTTGGGTGGAACGGATAGAAAAAAATCCGACGACGATAAATAAAGCCGTTAAAAAATGTAAAGTAAGCCATTAAAATATTCCGTAGGCCAAAAAGACCAAGAAAACCTAAGCTAATTGTAGGTTTCCTAGCATTTCAAGTATACGTAAGTCTCATAATCTATTAAAAAATAAATACGGCTTTCCCTCGGACGACACGATTTCGCTGCAAGGTGGAAAAATCGGGTACAACACGGTTGGGGAAATTTCACAATTTTTAAGTGTAAACTCCATTATTCTATATTTCTTATTCGAGTANAAAGCTTCTAAGCCTCTAAGTTCGAATGCCATTGTCCCGAATGATCTTTACCGCGGTCTTCCCGTCGGTCTAATTTTTACCGTTCCGCTTTCCGCCGGCCGCGTACTGCAGTCCGCTCAGTCCGCAGTTTAGACCCGGATCCGACTTGACCAGAAACTGCGGCAATCCGTTGTTCAGGTGGCGATTCAACAGTCTGTTGGTCCTTCTCTCCGAGACCACTCCCAGCTGCGTCAGCGCCAGGCAGGCGAAGTCCATGGCCATGGCCACGGGTTGACCGTGGAAATTGCCTCCGTGAAACACTTCTTTTCCCGGGAAGAAAAGGGGGTTGTCGTTGGACGAATTTATCTCCCTGGTCACCACCTTCCGCGCGTATTCTACCGCCTCTTTGACGGCCCCCGTCACCTGAGGAATGCATCTCAGCGTATAGGCTTTTTGCAGATACACCTCGCTCTGGCCGGCGCTTCTGTTCCTCACTTGGCCCAGTTCCGTTTTCAATTCCCGGTGAGTGCGAATTAATTTACTTCCTTCCAGTAGCTTTAGCGCGTTGCCCGCGCTGTCGATCTGTCCCGGGTGAGGCCGTCCCAAGACGTGGCCCTCGGGTCGAAAGGCCCCGTCGGAAGCCATCTGGTTTTCTAAAACCAGCGCCGCCACGATTTCTGCCTGTTTTATCTGATCGTCGGCCCGGCGCAATATCAGAGCGGCCATTCCGGTCATTGCCGAGGTGCCATTGATCAGGGCAAGTCCTTCCTTGTATTTCAACTCCAACGGGCGCAAGTTCCGTCGGGCCAGCATCTCCGCCGTGGGCACTCTCTCGTCGTTGTCGTCCAAGACGTATCCTTCGCCTATCAGCGCTAGGGCCACATGAGACAGAGGTCCCAGGTCTCCGCTGGCTCCCACCGATCCCGCTTCCGGGATCAGCGGCACGATGCCCCGATTGAGGAAGGCCACCATGGCCTCCACCAATTCCTCTCGCACTCCCGAATAACCTCTGCACAGGGCGTTGATTCTGGCGGCTAGAATGGCTCTGGATTCTTCTCTGGATAGGCGGTCTCCCACGCAGAAGGCGTGACTTCTGACTACGTTGGTCTGCAGCTCGGTTTCTTTCGACTTGTCTACGGTTATGTACACCATTTCGCCGTATCCGGTGGTGACACCGTACACCGGCTCGCGGTCCACGATCTCTTCCAGCAGCTTCCTGTTTTCTCCAATGCGCCGCCTGGTGGACTCGTCCACCACCGCCAGGCCCTTTTCCACCGCCAGGTCGAAGATGTCGTCCAGGTCGACGTTGTGACCATCCAAAGGAATGCGGCGAACCGTCCCGTTGGTGGCCGTCTGCAAAACAAAAGCCATTATCCGTAAATTAGTTCTTTTCCGTCCGTTCGTTTTAATTTCTTTCCTAATCACTTTAAATGTTTTAACGGCTTTATTTATTGTCGTCGGCTTTTTTACCCGTTCCACCCAAAAACATACCGGGTCCTAAGTTCCCAGCGAATATCTTTGGCTACGAACTTAGGGCCCGGCGCGTGGCCGATCCTGAGACAGGTTTAAGACGTCCGAGTGGACTACGCACTGTGGCAGAGTTAGAAGAAGAAATAAAAGCGGCCGATACAAATTTATATAAAAAACAAAGACACCAAATTACATAAAATTGAAAGTTATATCACACGTTTTTTTACATTTTACGTTATCTTAAAAACTAAGAAATATAAAAGTGATTGAAATTATTTAAATTTCGAGAAATACGATAAAGGAAAGGGCCTTGGAAATACGCCAGAACGAAAGAACGGCGTGAACGCCAGACGAAGGTAGTAGGTAGTAGGTTTTTGGGTGGAACGGATAGAAAAAAATCCGACGACGATAAATAAAGCCGTTAAAAAATGTAAAGTAAGCCATTAAAATATTCCGTAGGCCAAAAAGACCAAGAAAACCTAAGCTAATTGTAGGTTTCCTAGCATTTCAAGTATACGTAAGTCTCATAATCTATTAAAAAATAAATACGGCTTTCCCTCGGACGACACGATTTCGCTGCAAGGTGGAAAAATCGGGTACAACACGGTTGGGGAAATTTCACAATTTTTAAGTGTAAACTCCATTATTCTATATTTCTTATTCGAGTAAGCCTGCGAGTCGTCTGAAATTTGTCCACGTACAGTACTTTAGAATACAGTATTGAAATTTTCAATTTGTTTGGTGCCTTTCGTCGGGTTTAACGAAAGCCCATAGCGCAATTTCTTTTCTTCCTCCACCTACCTACCCGTCCACCGGGTGCGGTCGTCCCGGCTTTCGGACTTTAGTCTTTAACACTATCACCTTTTTCGTTCTTATAGATTAATCGTCGTGTTTATAATTGCTTTCCCGAAAATTTTAAACATTTTCGGGTAAGCGTTATTAAAGTTATTTTTAACCGTAGGTAATCGATCATTCTTAAAACTGACCAACGAAATACGGCGGCATTTCGGTACTCCAACCGTTCCCAACTCGAACAAGTTCGATATTCGAACGCAAATTCTGGGGAAAAATCACCGGGTACTCGACCCAACAAATGCCACCCGCTATAACAAATTTTCGATTAATAGCCTGTTTTTATTTCGTCACAAAAACTTTTTACCACGAAAATAAAAAAAAAAACACGAAAACGTTGACGATACTTCCGACGGAAACGGACAAAAATGCCAGAGTTTTAATTATTTTATCGATACGATTTACAAAAGCCAGTTTAACACGGTAGTTGATTGCCGGAGGTCGAACGACCTAACGTAAATAACGGGAACGGAGTGGGGGTGGAAAGTAGGGAAGGGAAGACGGCCAACGAAAGCAAAAGGCGTAACCGCACTTTTTTGCGTATTAATCCTCACGTTATCGTACAGGAATACGTTTTTATGGTCTTGTATAGTCTTTGGAGTTTGTATGGTCTTTGGAGGAGGCCTTTTATCCGTCACTTTTTCCGGGTGAAACCGTTGGCCGGGGAAGATTCTCGGCCTTTTCTCTTTCTCCTACCGATGATGGACAATCCCGGCTTTTAAAAATAGAGTGCGGGGAAAAAATCCAAATTTCCCGGACGTTTCGGCAGACGAAAAAAATAACCGGTGCCCATCGCCGTCGAATCCCGAAAATACTCGCTAAACGGCTGTAGAAAAGCGAGAAGGCCGAAATTCAAACGTACGGCCTAAAGAAAGAAGAAGCTGGCATTTCCCCGGGAGGCGGGAGGAAAGAAGCGCCATTGCATACGGCGGTTGGGGAAAGGCCCGGGCCCCTCTCCCACCGGATAAACCGGGTCTCCGACCGGGTCAGAGGTCACCCACCCAAGCGGGACGGAAGCGGAGGTAACGGGAACTCGGGACTCTCCGCGGTTAACCACCGGAGCCCAGGAAGGATCCCGGAGCGACCGTCCACCCGAAAACGGGCGGAAGGAAGGAAATTGACGTAGAAAAGAAGAGAAAATAAGAGGCAAAAGTCGAGAGAAGGGAAAACGTCCGGCGTTAGGCGGTACTGCAGCAAAAAATACGACCGAAAGATAACGAAGTTCCCCACCCCGCAGATGTGGAAGGAGATTTTAGATAAAAGCGGAAGGGAAAAAGCCGCCCGACGTTCTTCCGGTCTGGGGTAAAGACCGGACGGTAGAAAAGGTCATTCGGCGCCCGCAGATCGGGAGGGCGCCTAACCGGGTTAACAGTAAAAGGGAAAGGCGCGTTTCCGTATTTCCAATACCCGCCAGCCACGTCTTCCGGCTTCTTCCTACGTTTCCATCGGCATCCGAATGCGCGCCGGAGGGATATAAATCGCCCTTTTCCGCCCACCTCTCGGCCGCCGGGCGAGAAGAGATAAACGGTCGTCGCCCCCATTACGGAGTTCTTCCCGCCACGAAAGTGAACTACCTGAGGCCCGTCGGCTTTCCACATCTTTTTCCGGTTCTGAATCTTTCCTCCTTGTCGGACAGCCGTCACCAGTTCTATCGGCCTGCTCCGCGCTCGATCCGACTTGGCGCGCGCACGCCTCCTATATAGTTATCTGACCGGAAACGGGTGGGAGTAAACGTCCTCGGTCGGTTTTTTCCTCTCTGTTTCCGCCCCACCGCCCGCGGCGGGAGACTTACCCAGCGGCCACCGGAAGACGACTTTTTCTAACGGTTTTACTTCTTTTTGCGGCTAGGAAATCTAGAAAGGCTGTATTGATACAATACGATAAAAGTTATACACAGAATAGTTGTGTTAAAAACAATGAGCAATAAATAATTAAATTGTTAACAACATGAACAATAATATAATTATAATACATATACAGTATTTTATTGACATTAAAAATATTGCTTTTATTTCCAAAAAAAATCTAAATTTTTATTAAAAATGGTTTTCAATTGGAAATCTTTTAAACGCTTCACTCATTGCTTTTTGGTAAAACTTTAGACATTTTAAAATAAATAATTTATTGTCAGTATTATTTAAATCATTAATCAGTGCTCTTGTGGATACCCCAACATTAATTTTTTCGATAGCAATAGATTATGTGAATTATATAGATTAAAAGTTTCAATATTATCTTCATAAGTCGATAATACTTTTGTTTCGATAAAGTTAGAGGCTAATAATTTAATAAAAAGAACACTTTCTATGTAAAGATGAGATATTAAAGACTTTTTAGATTGGAAGAAAGCATTAAATTCATTGAATATGGGTAATATAAATTTAAAAAGCTAATAAAATAAGCTTTAACACGTGGATTCTGCATTTGATTAAAAGTACACTGACTGTTTTTTTTTTCTTCAAATTCTGCTACTCGAAAAACTTCAGCAGCACATTTCTATGTTATGGTGAACGATCTATGTTTTCTTCATCCACCGGCAGAGAATGAAGAAAAACATGGAATGAAGAAATAGACTCATCGTTTATCCTCGAACTCCCCTCTGGCGTTATGTCGTCTGAACATTATTATTGTTGTTAGTGAGTTATTAGTATATAAATATTGTCTCTAGTTTTCTGAGACAACTTAAAAAATTTGAGTTCTACCATAATCAAATTGGATTTCTCTAAGATAAAATTATGAGAATGTAACATTACACTTTCAAAGATTTTTTTACGTTCCGGGATTGCAAATATCTATAAATATTACTTTTTTGTATAATTTGTTTTGTAAAAAACTCGATTAAATGTGTTTTTAATCTATTATAAGTAGTACACGTGGCTGATATGTGTTTTTTTGAAACTTCGTGGTTCGATAAAATAACTGTAATTAATCTCCAATTTGGCAAATCAATTATTATTTTAGATTTTGATATTGAAAAGAGTTTGCAAAAGTAGCAGTAAACACTTTGGCTAATATTTTCAGAAAGAAGCAAATCTCTCTTTTTCATAATTTTATTTGATTTGATTTCTTTCCGTAAAACTGATCATAAGAAAGTCCTTTGTAATACACTTCATCTCTGTCTTTATACACTGATTTGAAATTCTCTATATTCCTAATACTTTTTGGTTTGTTTTTAAGATTATAATCAATAATAGCATCTGTTAATTTTGTTGGCCATAAAGCTGTATCATTTGTCTATATCGAAACGTTTTCCTGGATTATCTATATCTTCTGCGTTTTCGCAATCCATTTTTTCAAAGACATTTTAAAGAACTCGGGGGGATCCTTCGGGGTCTTTTGTATTTTGGGACCCTAAGCGGCCGAGAGTCCCGGAATCCTCCACTGAGGTATATACTATATCCTCCATTAATCCTAAGCTTAACCTTTCGCTGAGGTATATACCACAATTGCTGCCACTAAAAAGGAAAAAATGATGTCATAAAATTTCTTCACGCCTTTTTAAACCTCGGGACTAAGATATTATTCGGGAGTTACCACGTTTTCAATTTAGCAGTTTAAAAAAACTCCCGGGCAGATTTATTTTTGTTACAAAATGTTACGTTTACAGATTTCTAGCTCTGCACACTGTAGAAAATCTAGAAATACAGTTTTGTATATCGTAATAATATTAGTCGTCGACAGAAAGTACTATAAAGCCCTGGTCACACTATGCGATTTCCAGCCGCGCAGGCGACTGCAACCACGACGGCTGTTCCCGTTAACTAGTAATCCCCCCTCGAAAACTGGCGCGACTGCAATCGCAACTAGAAACAAAAAGTTTGTTCTACTCGCGACGATTGCAAACGCGCATCCAATGAACAAACGCCTTTATGCCACGTCATGCAGTGACAACATTGAAAATAGTTCATCATCATGGCGGATAGTCAGAGGTAATACTTTTACAGAATCGAGATTGATCGAGCTTATTCAGGCTCACGAATACCTGTGGGATTTTAATTCTTCGTTTTATCGAAGATTTTATCTTTCCATGTATTTTCGCCAGCTCTATTAAAATAATCGCCTTTTTTCTTTTATTCATTTCAGAAAAGGAACTGCTTGCTATTTAAATCGGACGATAATGTAGCGTACAAACGAAATATATTAGCGTATTAGTGTGTAAATAAAGCTTCTAAGCCTCTAAGTTCGAATGCCATTGTCCCGAATGATCTTTACCGCGGTCTTCCCGTCGGTCTAATTTTTACCGTTCCGCTTTCCGCCGCGGCCAAAGTCGAAAATTTTCTTTTCGTCGTCATTTTGCCGTTCCGTCCACGGACTCCACACACAAGTAAATGGGCTTTACTTTCCCCGCGCCGCGGAAATACGAGTTTCGGGAAGAGCGGAAGGGGGAGTCGCCGGGCCGGTGAGACGGGAGCGGAGCACCTGGTCGAGCCCAATGAAAGAGTAAGAGAGAGCTGTTGCGGCGGCCGCGGTAAAAAAGAGAAGCGCTTCCACCACCGCCCGTAATTAACAGGCGTTAGGGCTAAACTGACCACGGGGAAAGGCACGTTCCTGCACTCGGAAAAAACACGAGGAATTTTTGGAGGCGTTTCAAAGGCGCATTCTCCGCGTTTCCTAAGCGGCGCTGGATTGCGTGGGTAGAAAAGTGTAGAGTCCAGAACCATATGTCTCCTTTCTTTGGCCACACGGTAAGTGAATTACTAATTCTTTTCTCAATACGCAGTGTACTTTTTAGTGTACCGCCTCCCACTCCCGCCCTTTCTCTCTCCCTTCTCTTCCCGATTTAGACAACATTACGCTTCTTGGCCATAAATCGCTTCAATTTCCTCGTCCGATTTTCTCCTTGCCTTTACTCTTTTCTCCCGGGCCTTCCCCGGAATCCGGCCTTATCCGCGGCCTGCGGATTTACAGAATTGGCGGATGGGAGGCCGCGCTCTCTTTCCTCCTTCCACTTTATTTTCGAATATTTCCAAATTTTCTGAAAGAATTTCAGAAACGTCTGAACGCCCATCCTTCTTCCTTTCCGTGTTTAATTTCGTCGTCCATACGATTTATTGAATAAAATACTGACCAAAACAGATTTATAAATCTTTTCCGATTGTTAAAACACAAGGAAAGTATGGCCATCCGGCAAAAAATGACCCCCTCCCGGATTTTTACATTTTTGGACTCGGGACCAATCGTTGAATCGTCGAGAAATGCATAAAAAATCGGGGATAATTTCTGTATGTGTGGATGTTAGTGTGTGTATATGGGGGCCCGATTTTGTTCATCCTGTTTGAAGCTTAATAACTCCTGTACTTTTTGTCGATTTCAAAAATTTTGCAGCGAGATTTGTTTATTAGGGAATCGATGCTATTAAATTTTGGTGGTTAAAGGTCGAGAGAGTGAGGAGATAACGGAGAATCCTATGTTGTATCTCCGGTAGGGTCGGACTTAATGACGATGTTACTCGTTATTAACATTTACAGTATTTAATAAAATATCGTAACAGATAGCGTTACACGCAGTTTTAAATATCGCCGAGAAAGTTACGCCACTGGCTGCTGGATTTTCCGAAACAATTTTGCATTAAGTTTCTCTTTTGTGTTTTTATCATTTTTCTGCGATATTATCCAGAATGTTTTAAGTATTGGCAATACGGAGAGTAATAAACTGGGTGATTGATTCTCAATAATAATATGTAGCCTATTTGTGAAGGGACTTTGAAAATTCTTTACTTGTCGGAACCTGTAATATCTCGAATAATTGTGCTTATGCTGTCTTAATTTTAACCATGCCCAGTAGCTTCGATAACTGCATTAAGCCAGACTGTGAAAATTGGGCAAGGATAGGAACGAGTATAAAGTATGCGAGCATGAAATTTTTCTTCATAAAACCTGATTATTAAAGCCAAACGAACTGCCGAATTATTGGGCTGTAAGCTTGGTGTTTCTATTAAAGCAGCCGAGGTAGACAAACCAAGAGCACTAGACGACAAAAGAAATACTGTAACGCATCTCGAAAATGAACTAGAAATCTTCCGGGCTACGGGTGAAAAAACACATAACATCCGTCTTCTCTTAAATGCATTAAATACGATTCCACCCGCATCAATTGAATCGAAAAGGGCATTCTCGGTAGCGGGATTTTTCTTCAGTAAAATAAGAATCAAATTGAGTAATCGGAGTATTGACCATCTTTGCTTTTTAAAATCTTATGAAAATTTACAATGATATTTTATATTAATATGTTTTATTTAAATAACGAAAATTATCTTCTAACTTAGCAGTTTGATTTAAGTTCATTTTTTTCTTTAAATTTTCAACTCGATTCAAAGGCATTTTTGTTGTAAGCAGTTTCCAACAAACTTTAATAAATATTTTCTTTGTGAAAATTTCTACCTAAATCAAAGGTAACTTTTAATACATATTTTACACAGCATTATTATTATTATTTTGGAGGTTGCGGAACGTATTAAATTACTTAATCCCTTAAGGACATTGACATTTTTGGTATTATATAATTATCAATTTAATTAAACGTAAAAAATACTTAAAACTGAAAAAAAAAGAAATAAATGCGTTTATTTTGAAGAAAAAGCTTCAAATTTTATTTTCCTCTGTCTCGTATTTTTGTGAAATATAACACCGATGAGTCATAGTTTACACAGCTGGATGACTTTGAGAACAGCTGGAGTCGGATTTCCCGGGACATTCTCATAGAAGTCTCGGGAGGCGATGGGTTTATAGTAGGGTGACTACTAGTTGGCCGTATATTTTTAAATATTTTTAAAAAATTAAAA